AGCCACGGGCCAAATAAAAGGCCTTGGTGGGCCGGATCCGGCCCCTGGGCCATAGTTTGAGGACCCCTGCTCTTTAGGATCTTGTCTCGTTCTTTAATGGCTGCCTTTCCCAGTCTTCCTCTGATTTCTTGACTGCAGTCTCCATTTTGATTAATATTTGATCCAAGGTATGGGAAATCTTCAACTATTTTGATTTCTTCAATATCTAGTACATTGGGTTGAATTCACGTAGATTGTCCGTGGGGATTATTTTTCTTTCTTTATGTTCAGCAGTAATCCTGCCTTTGCACTTTCTTCTTTGACTTTCTTTAGCAGTTGTTCCAAACCGATAATGTTTTCTGCTTTTAATACAGTGTCATCCACATATCTTAGGTTGTTGATACTCCTTCCTCCTATGTTCACTCCTCCGCCTTCTGAGTCTAAACCTGATCTTCGTATGATATTTTCTGCATACAAGTCGAATAAGTAGAGTAATAATATGCAGCCTTGCCTGACCTCCTTGCAGATTGGGAACCATTTTGATTGTCTGCATTCTGTTCTTTCCGCAGCCTCTTGTCCTAAGTACAGATTCCTCATCAAGACTATTAGATATAGTATCACTCCCATTTCTTTAAGAGTGTTCCCTAGTTTTTCATAACCTATGTAGTTAAAGGCTTTGTTACATGGAGATATTGCTGTTGGAATTGGAGCTCCTCTCTACACAGAGACAGGAAGAGAATCAAGACTTCCTAGAAGCTACATTGAAGGATATTCCCAATTTATCGACAGTTCAAGAAGTGTTGTCTCTCTGCATCTTCATTTTTGTTGGCTGGATATTGTAAATAGTTAAATTGTAGAACTTGCTTCCACAAGATGCTGTTGCGGATGCAAACTTGGACAGATGCAATTCTACAGCAAACAAATTTACGGAGAATGCAGCCTTCAATGGCCACTAACAAAGGTAGCCTTCCCATCTAGTAGCCACTGAAAGTCCCATCCTCCATGAATTTATAGATCACCTCCCTGTATCAGAGGTTGGGTTCCTCTGTATATCAGCTTCCAAGGACTATGAGATAAAAGGTGAAATTGGACCCGTGTCCTCTTGGTTTGGAGAGGCAGTTTGGGTATTGGACTGGGAATCTGAAAGACCAAGGATCAAATTCCCACTGAAACCCATTGAGTGACCTTGGGCAAGTCACTTTCTCTCAGCCTCAGAGGAAGGCAAGGACAACCCTCCCTTTGAACAAATTCAGCCAAGAAAACCCTATGATAGATTCACCTTAGGAAGTAACATTTCTCAGCTATCATATCCCCAAGAGTACTGCTTTATTGCTAAACTCTGCATTCCTTTTACCTGCAGCACAATGCTGTGGATTATATATGTGTATATGCAGAATCATAGAGCTGGAAGGAGCATTAAAGGCCATCTGCTGTGCAGGAATTCCCCAGGATATGGTTACCTGTGTAGCACGCGCTCCTTTTTTTTCTCCAGAAAAATGCATCTCTTCCATCCATCATCAGGAAGCAGGAGTCAGACAGACAGGGCCCTGGTTTCCGGATGGGGTTTCCATGGCACTGTCACCATGGAAACAGAGCTGCATCTTCCCCATCAGGATGCTCAGACATCACAGCTCTTTAAAGGTCCTCCCATAAGGGAAATGATGGGCATGTCTGTCTGTGCATTAAAAAAGAGAGGGACAGAGGAAGAGAGAATTCACCATAGCCCATTTTGCATTTGCAAGCCCTCTGCTCCTTCGATATGTGCAAGTTGAACATTGCCCCGAATGCAATCTAAGAAAGAAAATACTCTCCCAAATTTCTGCTGTCTCAGCAAGGAAAGATGGGGGGCGAAGACACTGCTTCCATTTGCATGCTTCCCAGGCTGCTTCCCAAGAGTGGAGGCGTGATGGTTGGTGGTCCTGGCACCAGGCCTGTTGCTCTTTGGTGCCAGGAATAAAGGTCCTAATTAATTGCAAAGGGAAATGAAGCATCCCAAATGATGAGGCTGTGAGGAGCGAGTGGGAGGAGGGAAGCAGCCTGGCTATGGGCACGGTCAAAAAAGAAAATGCTATACGGGGCGTTGGTGCAAGGCCTCACGTGGGAGTTCACAATTTCCCACCATGAGCAAGCGCCTACCCATTTGAACAAGGACTCATAGAATCATAGAATCATAGAGTT